CATTGCTTATGTGAATTAAATTCTTCCAGGAGCGCTGCTCTCCCCCACCGCCAGCCCCCAGGCATGCAACCATGAATTTCTGAAATTTTATGGTTTACTATGATCTGCCCATCACACAGACATACACATGGGGTGAGGGGAAACGTGAGAATATATCCTGATTTGTCTCCCTGCAAGGCAAATAAAATAGGGTAAGATCGCTCTTAGAGTCCAAATTCACTATGCCAACGGCAGCGGGTTCAGAGCCAGCTTTCGGAAAAAGAACTCTTGGTTCTTGCGGCCCTGTCCCACTTCCCGTCTTCACGCTTGAAATCCCTTCCCCGGGGTAAATGTCTTCCAGTTCAAACTTGGAAAGGCAACTCTTCCCCAATTCACAATCACCCGCAAGCTTCTTCCCCTGCCCCCGGGATCCTTTCATTAGAATATGTTTGGAGTGGCCAGAGAGGTGGCCAGTTTGATCCTAGGACTACTTTGTGGGCTTCTTTGGAAATGGAGGCTCTAAAGCACAGGGTCAAGGAAGAATGTTCAAGTTACTATGGAAACTTCTCTGATGTTTGTGGGCCCATCTGAATTGCCTTTGGAGCTGAAGAAAACTAAGCTGAAATAAAAGGAAAGCGGTTGGGGAGGTTTTTCCTGCGCTACAGCAAGAACCGCCCCAGCTAGCTGACTTCCCTGGGCTCAGGATCCTTCCCTCTCATACTTTGAGGAGACGGAGTGAACGCAGCAGCAAAGCGTGACAGTATCCTTCAGTCTTCCCACTGTGGGGCTGCCCACGGACTTCTAAAGCTCTTTGTTTCAGAAGAGAGAAAAAGCAGGGGACAGAAAAGCAGTGACTCCACCTTGAACCCTGAAGATTTCTGGAACAATCTCCCTGCTAGATTCATTTGCTTAAGGGCCCCTGCTCTCCCATACTCAAGTCAAACAAACATGACCCATACAGGATTCCAAACCGACTCTCAGGACAACTGCTTGGAAGAGGCGGCTTTCCCCCATACTTTTGTGTCCGTACTGCTTTTCTCTGACAAAAGCAATGTGTGGATGGGTTTGCTTGGTTTTTAAGCCACAAACATTACAGAACAGTAACAAAAGACAAGGGCTTACAAATGCATCATATCAAATAGTAGTTTTCAAACTTTAAAATACCAAAGATTCCCCTAGGGGAATATGTTAACTGGACCCGGCAAGGACCTCAGTGATAGATCACATATCTAGCATGCCCAAAGTCCTGCTGTTGAGCCACAGAACCCACACACATACACAAACTTCCTTATCTAGGTCCCATCAAAGGTTCTGATATAGCACTCTATGAGCATGTCCCGGTCCTTCTGTTTTTCGCATCCAGAGATACCTAGCAATGGTGGTTGAGATTTACTCCCCTAGAAGAGGCCTCGCTGACGGACTTGTGTACATAGAAGTGGGTTCTCTATGTATGAGCTTGTTTTTTTTTTCTTAAGGAAGGGGCATCATTGTGGGTGTGCTTGTCCCCTACAATGTGAGGGACAGTTTTTACAGGTTGGCATGGAGGTGACTGCACCTATCATAAGGTGCTGCAATCTCTTTTATTGATGGCTGTGGTTTTGCTTCTGCTTGCCCATCTCCTGTGCAATGTTATGAGTACTCACACACGACAGGAAGCTGCTTCTATTGCTTTTAAGACCATGACAATTTTGAGTGAGGTAACCCAGACCCAGAAAGACAAACATCATATGTACTTACTCATAAGTGGTTTCTAAACATAAAGCAAAGAAAACCAGCCTACAAATCACAATCCCAGAGAACCTAGACAACAGTGAGGACTCTAAGAGAGACATACATGGATCTAATCTACATGGGAAGTAGAAAAAGACAAGATCTCCTGAGTAAATTGGGAGCATGGGGACCTTGGGAGAGGGTTGAAGGGGAGGGAAGAGGCAGGGAGGGAGCAGAGAAAAATGTAGAGCTCAATAAAAATTTATAAAAACAAAAACAAAAGATTATGACATGACAGAAACATGCTGGAAGAACACTGCTTCCCTTATAATATCCAGGGGTAAGGAACAGGGATAAGATGTACCCAAAGTCACCCCATCGCAGAAACCTACTTCCTTCCCCTCACTAGCCCCCCACCTTCTGATAGCCTATTCAACTGTGAACCCATCGGTGCGTTGATCTATTGATGAAGGTAAGGCCATCACAACCTAGTTACTTCTGAGCGGCACATCTGGAGACTAAGGCTTCAGCACTTTAGCTTTTGTGGGGAATACTTCATGTCTAACCCATAGCCAGCATCAAAGTATTGAGACCGAAGCCACGACAAGAATAAGGTAAGGCTCCTCTTGCCGGGCTGCCAACTCCATGGGTGAGCCTGTTGGGTCTGCACCAAGTTGGGCTGTGCCAAAAGCCTTAGGTAGAACACCATAAAGAGTCCTGGCCACACAGTGGCACTAACACCTAGCACTGATGTTTCTTGGCCAACTGTCCTTGGCCATTCATCAAGCAGGGCTTTTTAGAAGAGTGGGTGAATGGTAGGAATAGTAACCATGGCTGATGTGGGGACTCCAGACATAAACAGAAGCTATCAGAGTCTTTCCCTAGGACCCTTAGAGCCTCAGTTTTCAGAAGGCACTAAGGGTGGTTTTGATGGGCTACTGAAATCCCCAAAGAAGCACCCAGTTCCTTCTCTGTTGAATAAGATAAGAAGGAAAAGAGTAGCCACAGTAGTCAACAAGTCCTTTGTTTTATTTAAATGAGGTCTCCTGTGGCCCAGGCTGGCCTTGAACTGACTGTGTAGCTGAGGGCGGTCTTGAACTGCTGATCTTCCTGCCTCTGTCTCCCCAGTACTGGGATCACAGGTATCAGCCACCACACCCAGTTTTACGCTGTGCTGGAGACGGACTCTGAGCATCCTACAGCTGAACTACACCCCCAGTCCCTGACAAGGCTTTAGTCCTCCTATTCTACTAGGAGAATTGTGAGAAACAAAGCCGCCAGGGTGGGAAGCTGGGGGAGGCTACCATTCCAGGAATTTCCAGAAAAGCAGAAGTTGGGAGCAACAAACACGGAGGACTATACATTCTTTCTAGAACACTGTCTTATGCCTGAGTGCCTGAGAATGCACAACTTTAGGCTTCTATGGCTTCAGAGTGTTTGAAGTACCCTCCCACAGGTCCCTTTTCCAGGTCCCTCCATCTCCCCCCTTCCTCACTGCAGCTTTCCTGGCCTTCTGCTACTATTTCCAGCTCATTCCCACTCTAGAGCCTTGACACTAGCCGCCCTCAGGCTGGAAATCTCTCCCACATAAACAATAGCCAGTTTCTTATGAGTCAGCCTCTGCCATGCCCACCCTTCCCAAGCTCTAGATCACTGCCCTTCTCATTCAACCTTACCTTCTGCACAGCCATACATCACAGATTGGTGTTTTCTTGTGTGCCTTCCTTATCTGCTCGCTCTCTCTGTCTTTCTCTCTGTCTCTGTCTCTGTCTCTCTCTCTCTCTCTCTCTCTGTGTTTCTCTCTCTCTCTGTCTCTCCCTCTGTTTCTCTCTTTGTGTCTCTCTGTCTCTCTCTCTCTGTTTCTCTTTGTCTCTCTCTCTGTTCTCTCTCTCTCTCTCTCTCTCTCTCTCTCTCTCTCTCTGTCTGTCTCTCCCTCCCCCTCTCTGAAAGTGGATTCTCCAAGGACAGGGGTACCGTCTGTCTCCTTCCCATCATAAATCCACTTAGGTCATGACAGGAATACAGTATATATTCTGTAGATGTTAGCTAAATGAACAGATCCTGTGGCCAAAAAGAACCCCAAACTGCATGGGCAATGCATCTGCTTACCATGGTGTGTGTCCTGGTCCTAATAGTTCCTGGACAACTGAAGTTCATGAGAAAAAGAACTGGGATAAAGGCCTAGTCTCACTGGCAGGCGCTGGTCTCCTCACTGAAGAGCACAGGATAAGGCCAAAAGCAGGAACACTCCCAATGCTCAAGAGGAAGCTAGTTCAGAGGTAAGGGAAAGGTCTCTGATCTACAAGCATGTGGATTTGCTTTGGGGTTCTGCCCATGTCCTCAGCTTCATTTACACACAGTCTCATTGTGACCAAGAACAAGCATGGCTATTGGGGCCCTTAGCACATGACAGTTCTCTCTGTAGGGTATATTAGTGAACACCATCTCATTGAGGTTTTATTACCCAGCCACAGAAACCAAAGTACAGAAAGGGCTGGGATCAGGTCAGGTCTGGGTATAGACTCCATCAGCTACCCTCCTCCTGTCTACTACATCCTGCTGCTTCTTCTTTGAAGCTCCAGGTATGAAGTTATATGTATTATATTATACAAGTTTTGTTCTTCGTTTTGTTTTTTTGGGGATAGAATTTCTCTGCTTAGCCTGGCTGTCCTGGGACTTGCTCTGTAGACTGGCTGACCTCAAACTCAGAGATCTCTCTGCCTCTGCCTCCCAACTGCTGGGATTAAAGGTGTGTTCCGCCACTACCCATGTATGCATGGATTCTTCAAACCACCCACAGGTGTGTTCAATGTAGTTCAACAGATTTGTAAATGACAGCTTCATGTCACAATGTTACTGACACCTGTACCTGGAGGATGGCCAAGAACTGGCTCAAGGTATAGTTTTCTCCCTGCTAGCACCCCAAGAGACCCTTCTAAAAAATTCCTTACTGCAGCAGGGAGCGTGGCTTCCCACTCCTTGAGGGAAGTGCTGGAATCCCCTCCCATACAAACAAGGGAAATTCCTCCACAGCAGCTAGAAGCCTTCTTAATGGGAACAAAGCTTGGCATGATTCATATTCCTCACCAATATGACAAAACAGGTATTTATTTGTGCCTCTCAATCAGGGTGGCTTGGACATGGTGTTCTGAGCCGAGGACATGGCCACTCACCAAGTGAAATAACAGTTTCTATAGCAACAGTTCCTTTTTATTGATATCAGAATAAACAGGAATGTAAGACTGCCTCCCATCTCGGGAGTTTAAGTCCCGCCCTTTGGGGGCGGCTGCCTCAGCCCTGGGACCTTCTTAGGGTTCCCTAAGTCTGCGAGCTGCAGAGGAGCTCACAGCTCAGACACTGCTCTGAGACTCCTGCCTGTTCTGTCCCAAGCTGTCAGGCTGTGTTCTGGGAGAAGGTGGAGGGACGGAGAGCGACCTGGGAGCACCAGAGCAAGCTGTCCTGGTAACTGAACCCTTCGAATTTAGGTACCTAAAGACTCTGCCTCACTGGGGTGAATGATAAGGGGTTAGGAAGTGGGGGTGGGGGACAGGGATTGAGTGGGCTCTCAATTACAGTTCTGGAGCCTGGTGGATCTTTTGCTTCTAAATACTGGGAGTAATTTAATGTCCGCTACAGCTCTCCTAGGTCCATTATTACACAATAGGGGTGTGTGGGGTTATTGAAGAGGGGGGTCAGTAAATAATCCACAGATAGACAAAAGCTCGGCTTTTATATGCAATGAGAACACAGAACCTGGGTTTGGGCACCAGAGTTCAGCTCGGATTCTTGTTCCTTTGACCCCTGGCAATGTGATCTGGAGAAATCAGATGGCATCTTTGAGGTGGGGTGACTGCTCCTAAGAAGGGGTTGCCCACCTTCTCAGTTTATCGGCAGTTCAGTGGGTCCAGGGCTAGCGGTAGTGTCCACCTTGCTGATGAACTTGGCTTTAGCATCCCATGGTACAAGGCCAGTCTGAAACTAGAGAAATTAGGCCCTAGGGAATTGCACATCACTATAGGCTGCTCTAAGCAGGGTGGTTTCTAAGTTTGAGGCTGTCCCCATGCATAGGTTTCTGGGTGACTTGGATCCTGGTGGCTTTCTTAGCCTGAAGGATGGTAATCCCTGCAGTGATTTCCCTGAGCCAGTCTCAGATAAAATGGGCTGGCACCAGACCACATGGGTAGCAGGATGGGAGATCTGTTCATGCTGGTTCCTGCCCAACAGCATGGTACAATTCCTAACCTTGCAAAGGACCCTGTATGGCTAACCCTTCCAACCCAACTCCTCTTCTCACTGCCTAGAAAGTTCCAGTGAACCAAGACAGAGAGTTGAGGAAGCCAGTCTGGAGTCCTCTTGTTCAGATGGACAGGCAGCTTCAAGGTTGGCCTGAGGCTGCAGGGAGACCGGGAGGTGTTGCCAGATGTGTTCTTAGGCTACTGGCCAGTAAGCCACAAATGCATGCCACCCGCAGGGAGGAAAGGGCAGGCAGGACACGTGGTAGCCAGCTTGTCCCTTTTCTGAATGTTCCTCCTTCCCTTGCCAGCTTTTCTCAAAGCCTCCCTTCTGAGGCTATTGATGCTGGACCAGGATGGTTTGGGGGACGGGGGTGAAGGCTGCCAGGCCTGTGGTTTCAAGTGGCAAGGTAGCGCTAGCATTTCTCACAGGCTGTTTCTCTGGCTTCCGTGTTCTCAGCTGTCAAAGGGGCTCAGCTGCTTCTCCCATAGGTTTCTTGAGCACACAGAGAGAGCAAATGTAAAAAAGTAAAGTAAATCTGCTCTACTGAGTCAAAAATATGCCATTTGTGGGAGATAATGTCATGGTAGAAAGAATATTAGGTTTGGAGTCCAAAGATCCTGGCTTTGCTAACTACCCAACATGTATCTTGGCATAAAGGGCTTTGACTTCCTCAACTATAAAATGAGGAAGATTCAGACCAAGTCCCATGATCACCCCAAAACATGCAGGACAGGAGGCTTACAGTTTGCCTTGGGTGGGCCTTGCTAATTCAAGTACTGTGCAGAGTGCATTGGGCACACCGTATCCTTTTACATTCCAACGACCTTAGCGTGGATGCCGTGACTTCCGCTGGTCAGAGGTCAGAGAGCATGGCTTATTTGCCTGACTAGCTAGGCCTGCATGTTACCATCTATTGCCTTTGCTTTAACTGTTGGACATTTGACTAGACCCAGTGTCACTTGTTGTAACAGAAATACGATAAGAACATTGAAGATAGTCGGAAAGCAGACAGAAGGGACATTAAGACCGTAGGCAAAGCTAAGAATGTAGCTCAGTTGGTCAAGAACCTCCCTAGCATGCACAAAGCCCTGAGACTGATCACTGGCGCCTCATTCATGGGGCATGGTGGCGACACTATAATCTTAGTACTTGAGAGGCAGCAGCAGGACAATCAGGAATTCCCGGTCATCCTTAGCTATATAGCATGTCTGAAGCATACATGACATATATGAGCCCTGCCTCAAGGAGGGGTAGGAGGACCTTGGGTATCAGCCTTGGTCCCACAGCTGTTTTCAGTATGAATTTGACCTGAAGTAAGATTATCATTCTCCTCTATCTCTGTCTTCACTGTCCAGGAAGGGACCAGGGTTTGTTGTCAAGGCTACTGTTCCAACCCAGCTGTGTACACCCAGAACCTGGCTCAGTCTCTAGGACGCAGCTCTAGGACCTTCTGGGGAGAACCAGAGGTCTCAGTCTCTCTTCTTCACTCTTATCTCCCTGAATGCCCCCTGGAAGAGGTCAGCCTCACCAACTGCTCTCTTAGAGACACTCATTTAGCTGACACTTCTGGCTGCAGAGCTTCCTGCCCAGCAGATGCTCCTCAGTCTTCCAACACCAGGATTCTCCAGAGGAGGATGCCTGGGTTAAAAGCCTAAGTGTACCCTCAACCAGACCTGCATGCAGTGACTGGCCAACCATGGCCAACTAGAGTCACTTGGCTGCAGCAATGAGGCCTGAATGCCTCCCTCCCTCCCTCCTTCCTTCCTCTGGTTTTGCAAAGGCATCTGACTATTGAGTCACCCAGGAGTTTTCAAGCCTCTCAAACACTAAGATGTACCCCTAAGCTACTGAACTGGAATTAGGGTGTGACGCCCCTGGGGACCCCAACATTCAGCAAAGGTTAAAATTTAATGACTTAATGATTATCCCCTCTTAAAAAACAAAATAAGAGAACTCAGTCCTAAGGCTATGATCGGGATGTATTTAATAGGGATCTCAGCTAATAAGCTGGCCACACATCACTACTTCTGGTTTAACCTGCGGGAGTTGAGGCCCGAGAGTGCAACTCACAGGCTGCTTTGCCATCTCTGGCAGCCCTGGGAACCAGCACGGAGCCTTTGGACTCCAAGCTAGCCATTTACCAAGAGCCTTGTGAGCATCCGCAGCTTCCTGTTCAGAAATCTTCATTGATTTGGGAGCAGAGCTGATGTTCAACTCAAGGTGTGAACGGCAGATACTTCCATGTCTCCTTTAAGGGTATTGGCCACTTATCTCCTCCTTCACCAGCCCTTCCTCTTCCTGCCAGCTCATTTTCTTTCAGAGCTAGCCTGTCTAAAGCCCAGTTCTTGGCCTCATCATGGCCACATCCGGAATGGTCTTAGATTGCTCAGAACCGCAGCAGCTTTGGGAGTGACCCCAGATTCCTACCCAAGGTGCCCAACATGACCTCCAGGATAATTCAGATCTTCTGCTTTGGAGTTATATAGTGCCCCCATCAAATATCAGAATAGATGGCTCCTATCAGCAACCAGGGCTGCCACTCTAGTGAGGCAGGTTGTGACCACAAGGGTCCAAGGCCTCCAGTGAACAGCATCTTCCATGAGAGGACCTACACAGGGTTTTCCACTCAGAAGCCTCATCTATCAAATTAAAAGGCTAGAAGACTCATATTGCAGTTCTTAAACCCTGAGGGTTCCCATGAGCCCTTCCTTCTTCATTCTGTACACACACACATACACACACACACACACACACACACACACACACCTACTGAAGTTCAGCCTTTAGAGAGGTAAAGGCAGATTTTCCAGCTGCAACTGCCCTTTTAGAGATCCCTGCCTCATCATAGACCATAGATTTAAAAAGAGTGGACTCCCAGAGAGACCCTTCAGCCAGGAGTAACCACTGATAGACCTGGTGTATGAGGTGATCCCATCTGCAGGGCCCAGTACAAAATGAAGGGCTCTACTCTTCCATGTGTATGAGGTATTTCACGACAGTGACTACAGAAGGGTAAGCCAGACAAGGCTTGTCTTCCCAGAGGGACCCTGGAAACCAAGACTGAGGGGGTGGCCTGGGGGCGAAGATGGAGAACCAGGCCAAACCAAGGTTTCTCTGGAATGTAATGGGGATGGAAGGAGCAAACAGAAGCAGCCCACTGAAAGGGAAGGAAACAAAAATTCCTAAGGCCTGTTGGCCATTTCCCCTACACGGCAGCCAGCATGACCTTTCAGAAATCCAATCTGACTCGCCCTCTCCCGGACCTGAAGCCAGCTGTCCACCCTCATGGCGAACACTCCACCACCGGATGGCGCCTCTCTGGGCACACTGTGCTTTTGTGTTCCCAGAACAGACCAGGCTTGTTCAAGGTGTGGGAGCCAGACAGCTGCTCCCCAGGCCTGGAGCCGTTTCCCCTTCACTCTCAATGCTCACTGGAGCCCCACCTCCTCACAGGGCCCCTCCCCAGCACCTGGATGAATTTGGTCCCATTTGTAATCGTTAGAGCAGGGCCCCCCACTTGCTTAGCTCCCAGCTGGGTACCTAATGCTGCCATAATACATGGCAAATGAGAGGAATGCAAGCATCTGATGATTGTATGGCAAACATTATTTCATATATTCTCAATGTCCATTCCTATTGTGCAAGACTCCTAATTCTTTAATTCTGTGTAATTTATTTTGTGTCCTGCCATAAAACTTAATTTCTCTCCTATTGTTTTACTGGGGATACAGGAATGTCCTCTTTTTGTTTTGTTTTGGTTTTTTGTTTGTTTGTTTGTTTGTTTTTTTAGACAGGGCTTCTCTGTGTAACAGCTCTGGTTGTTCTGGGACTCAATTTGTAGACCAGGCTGGCCTTGAACTCACAGCAATTTACCTGCCTCCACCTCCTGAGTCCTGGGATTAAAAGCGTGTACCACCACTGCCCAGCTATGTCTTTATAAAATATTATTATTAAATAATTATATTTTAAGTATTATTGTACATAAATTTCCAAGAGTTATACAACTTATTTCTGCTTGCTGTCTTACCATGGCGGCAATATACAGCTAGTTCTTTGGAAGGTGACGTAGCCGATGAGAAGCTTTCTGCACTGGGAAGATTGGGGCCCGAAGAGGGTGAGGGCAGAGAAGCTAGGGAGTCAGGGGAGACATTGAAGTGTGGTGTGATGGCAGCCTGGACAGGATGGGAGCTGGGGACATAGCGAGTACTACAGAGAACTAAAGACTGGAGAACTCAGCAATGGAGTAGATAGCAAACAGGGATCTTAAAACTCCAATTTGAATCAAAGCATTCTGGTACATTGGCTGCCAGAAATACGATCCCATCAACTAAAACAACTAATCCCCCTTGGTGGGCACAGTGGTAATTTTCTAATGTTCCCGCTTAAAGTGACTAAAGGTGCCAAGATGTATCTCGGACGGTAGAATACTTGTCTAGCATGCACAGGTTGATTCCTAGCCTGCTTAAAACCAGGCATGATGGCACAGGCTTGTACTAGCAGATAACAAGTCCAAGGACATTCTTGGCTATAGCACAATTTTAAGGCCAGCCTGGGCTACATGAGGTCCTATCTCAAAAGCAAATAAATAACTAAGGTGCTTCGTGACCATTTTAAGAACCAAAAAATTAGAATATAAGCTGAAAACAAATTGACTTATAAGAAAGATACAAAGAAAGAAAATAATGATTCTCATTTTAGAGGTACTTCTGAGCAGGGTGTGGTGGTGCACGCCATTAATCCCAGCACTCAGGAGGCCTCGAGACGGGGGATCTCTGTGAGTTCAAGGCCAGTCTGATCTACAGACCAAGTTCCAGGACAGCCAGGGCTACACAGAGAAACCCTGTCTCAAAGATCAAAGAACAAAAAATTGCTTCTGAGGCTGTTAATCCAATCAAAAGCGCATGGCACAGTGCCTGAACGGATCCAAGCCAGATGGAGGCCCAGTGATGAGAGGGGAGTGGACACAAGCTCTCATCCTTAATCAAAAAGCTATATCCAATTAATAACTGCATGCAAAAGAAAAATTAGTGTAAAATATGGAGTCTCAATGGGTTTATGAGCCACACTTAACAGAGGCGCCACCCCCAGCGGTGGAATGCCATCAGAAAGTGAACTCAGTAGTATTGCTGTAGACTTTGTTTCTCATATCAATTGCTTTGCTTGAACACTACATCTTACTGATCCTTTACTTGTATAGAGTGGCTTCTGATTCTGTGTTTTTATGAGTTTTGTTTTTTTCTGTACGTGCGCGCGTGTGTGTGTGTGTGCATATCTGTGAGTATCTGTATTTCTTGTGTTTTTTTCTTTATTTTTAATCCAGATTTCCTTTAATTTACCCATTAGTTTTTCAAAGAGATAAGGGGCCCCTGCAGATGTCAGGCAGGAAGCAAACCATGCAAGGAGATGGGAATGAAAACCCTTTGCAGACTGACTTAACCTGGATCAGACTTTGAGGTGTCTAATGCCAGGTGGTTCACTGTCAGCATGTTTAAAACACAGTACAGCTTGGGGAAAGGTTTCCAGGCAACAATCAGCCCAATTCCAGGTGCACAAATAAAACTTAAGGTGTGACTACGGTGAGACTCTTTTACAGAGTACATGCGGTCTTGAGGATGGGTTCTACAGCTAAAAGGCCTAGTGTCTAGTGTGGTCTCTGACTGACAGCACAGAAGTCAGCAACCATAAAGTCCTTGTGACAACCTTTCTAAGGATGGGAAATGGTCTAGGGAGGAAGAGTCTGGAATATTCATTCTGGGGAATTAGGGTGAGATCTGCCTCCACAGATAGCAAAAAGGCCTCCAGGTTGTTAATAAATCCACTCTCAGCTCTCTGGATGCAATGCAGATATTCAATTTGCATCTCCTCCATGAGGAGACAGACACCCCTGTGTGATTAACACGCCTAATTCTCTTAGTGTTCCTCTATGAGTACTAGGACCTCTGTGCCCCCAACAAAGAGCTAGAGAAAGAAGGCCTGGAGCTGGGTGAATTGGGAGGTGGGAAGAAGATGTTGGAGGGCAAACTGTGATCGGAATATATTGTATGAAAAAATATTTTCAATTTAAAAAAGCGGATATTTCTACACTCTGACACTTCACCTGGTTACCACCAGAACACCTTCGGGAGACTAATGCTTTTCATTTGCTGGGGCTGAAGGTGGAAGCAGGAAAACCTCATATTCAAGGTCATCTTCAACTATATAACAAGTTCAAAACGAATCTAAGCTGAGAGCCAGAGCCAGAGAGAGCCTGGGACAGAAAAGAGGAGACCGAGAAGGTGGCGTCTCAGGATGTGAGATAGGGCATGCTATCTCTATTGCCACATGGAAACCAACTTAGGGCTAAGGATCCCCAAGACCAAAACCTTAAAAGTTTTAGCACCAGTTACTAATGAACATTAGTGCCTACTGCATATTAGACCAGACGCTTGCTATGCCCACCATACAGAACATGCTCAACTCCACCGGCTGAAGCATGCTGGCTGGTCCTGCTAATGCTACAGGGGTGGAGGCGGGAGGGCTGCAAGGTCAGCACCAACAGGGGTGTCGCAGAAAGACCTGTCTCAGAGAAGGGCTGAGGGTGCTTTTCTGGAAGCTGGGCTGAGGGACTCAAACCTTTCACCTAATATTCACTGTAATTACACAGAACCATGAACAGCCAGGCAGCAGCTATCCCCTGTGACTAGTGTGTTAAAGAACTTTGCTCTGCTCTCCCTTCCCCTCCCCTCCCTTCGCCTCCTCTCCTCTCCTCTTCTCCTCTCTCTAAAGCATTTCAAGAACAGGGACCTGTCTGTGGTCCTAAGCCTTTCTGCCTGAATCTGAAGTACACTGACAAAGTTCCACTACTCTGGCAGAAGAGGGACCAAGAGCAGTCACACATGAGACGAGATGACGGCCATCCCTCTGTAACAGGGATACGGCAGCCCTTGCATTTCACAGACTACTCTCTGTTGTGGCAAAGGCGGAAAGTCTCAGCCCTCCCATCAATTTGGGAACTATGGCTAGGGAATGGGACAATAAGGGGGGGATGTTTTGTTTTTACCATATCTAAATTGTCTTTAACAACTACAGATCACACACACACACACACACACACACACCTTTTCTTTTTCTAGTACAAGCTTATTGAAAGCAGAAACACAAATATAATCCCTTTGGTTTTAGTTTGGGTAATTTTTTTTTCTTCTGCCAGTGTCCTATTCACTGCCAGGGTTACTATTTCTGTGATGAAATACCATAACCTAAAACAACTTGGGGAGGAAAGGGTTTATTCGCCTAACACTTCCACATCGCTGCTTATCAACAAAGGAAGTCAAGACAGGAAATCAAACTGGGTAGGAACCTGGAGACAGGAGCTGATGCAGAGGCCGTAGAGGGGTGCTGCTTACTGGCTTGCTCCCCATGGCTCAGTCTGCTTTCTTATAGCACCCAGGACCACTTTCTTACAGCCAGCCCAGGGCTGGCACCATCCGCCATGGACTAGGACCTCCCACATCAATCATCAATTAAGAAAATGCTCTACAGGCTTGCCTACAACTCAGTCTTATGGAGACATTTTCTCAATTGAGGTTCCCCCCTCTCAGATGACTCTAGCTTGTGTCAGGTTAACATAAAACTATCCAGCACAGCCAGCGGCAACCCATTTGTATGCACTTTGGTATGTATGTATATGCAGATGTGCGTGTGTGCATATATGTGTAGAGGCCAGAGGTCATCTTCGGATGCTATTCTTCAGGCACTGTCTGCCTTGCATCTTGAAGCAGGGTCTCTCACTGGGACATGGATTAGGAGTAATCTCACTGATTAGGCTGGCTAGGCTGGCCAGTGAGTTCCAGGGATCCACCTGTCTCTGCCTCACAGTACTGACATCCCAAGCACACAGCATCATGCCAAGCTTTTTCTGTGAGTACTGGGGAATCTAACTCAGGTTCTTGCGCTTGCATGGCAAATGCTTTCTGAAAAGAGCCATCTCTCCAGTCCCATAACAAAGTCATATCTTAAGCCTTGGTGACATTTTACTTCTGTGCCCCAAATGCTTTACAAACATCATCTTCAATAGTCACAACAACCTTTTAACTCCCGGGTAATGGCTGATTACCCACAACAGAGGGGCAGAAAGCATGATCCAGATGGTCAGATAGCTTACCCAGGTTTCCCCACTAAGTTGCGCCCCAAGGAGTGGGTAGGGCTGCAGACATCCTTGAAGTAACTTCACTGCCCATCACGACAGCTTCAATGTACTCGGAGATCCAGAGGGAGAGGGCAGACATTGGGGGACTCATGGCTCGGCCAGAGTATAGAGAGTCATGGAATCCAGAGCTCATCAAACCCAAGAAGCTGCTGAACCCTGTGAAGGCCTCTCGAAGCCACCAGGAGCTACACCGGGAGCTGCTCATGAATCACAGAAGGTAGGATGGCACCCAGCTGCCTGGCCTAGCAATATCCTGCACAGGCCTGCTGTGCTTAGATAAATGTTACCTAAAGAGGTTGGCCTGATCATTATCTGGAGCCCCACGGTGAGAACCCAAAAGCCCCATCCTCTCTCCCAGCCACTTAATGCATGCTTGGATGCCACGGAAGCCACGTGAACTTATTAAACTCCTATTGCATGCAGAGCACCATTCCCAGACCTAGAATACAAAAATAGAGGCCTGGTTCCTTTCCTCCCAGAGGAGAATGAAAGAATATCAGGCAGAGAGTGTGTGCCTTGATGGAGGCTTTAAAAGAGTGTGGGACCCCAGAGGAGGTACTGGAAGTGTGGGGCTGTCTAAATGACTTCATGAAAGAGATGAAACCTGGAAGGCCTAAAGCAGGGAGAGGAGGCAGCCCTGGTGGGAGGTGGGTTGTGTCAGCAGAGAAAACTAGAGCGCACACAGATGTTGTTGGGGTATCAGGCAGCGATGGCTCCTTCACAACCATGTTCCCATATTGGGCGAGAGGCTGGTATTGAAACAGAAGAGCCAAGGGGAAATCTGGCACATCTGTAGTCCCCTGGCCCAGGCTGAAGGTGGAGGGACTGTCTTCGTGGCGCCCTCTGCTGGCCAGTTGTATTGGAGCTGGTTGTAATTTCCATTCTGAGCTACAGCCAATATACAGCAGAGTGCCCCTTACACTCTGGACTGTTTGTGGGTTTGTTTTTCCTTGATATTGTAACATTGTCATGTTCCCGGTTGCTTTAGTGTGGTGCTCATTCACTATAGTATCAAAAATACCACCACAATGAAAAACAGCTTCAAGCAAACCGAAATATGTGCTATATAATAAATTAAATTGGAAACTGCATATACAGTATAAAATATTAATATATTCATGTACCTTAGTCTACAAGGAAAAACTAAATAAGAAGAAATAATTTGCAAAAGGAGAAATGTAAACGCTGGAAACATTTTAAAGGTCATTGCATGTGACTGATAATCAAGGAAACATGAAAACCAGACGTTGTTTCTTGTCTCCTAGACTTTAAAAAAAAATTGGCTTGGAGAATGGGGATAAATAGATATCCTTGTAAAGAAACTAACTCGCAGGAGATTTTGAGAGCGCTCACTCAGCCCAGCATCTTCAGAAGCTCTCATAAAATACACAGCAACCACAGGGCACCTGGTCTCTGCTGCCTGGGCTGAAATTCTCCTGCTATAGTTCAAGCCTGCCTGGCAACTGGACACAGTGGCTCTTTGCCTTTCCCTATAGCATGGGACAGCAAGGGTACCTACCCCCCTCTCCCTCCCCCGTCCCCCCTCCCCGCCACCGGTGTTGCCCAAACATCATAGGAGATAATGGTGCGCTGGCGTCACCGAAAACTGCCGTCCCAGACTGGGAAGGCTGGGAAGGGAATCTCCTGATAGCTCCCCTCCTCCAGGGGCCTGGGTGTGGACAGCAAACCCGAACTGCAGCGGGTCCTGGAGCACCGTCGCTGGAATCAGTTGATCAAGAAGAAAGAGGAGGAGCTGGAGGCCAAGCGGCTTCAGTGCCCCTTCAGGCAGGAGCTGCTGAGAAGGCAGCAGAGATTGAACCAGGTGGGTAGGAGGCCATCACTCCAGTCCAAGCTCCTCCAAGCCCCCAGGGAAGGTTGACATGATGCCAGGAATCTACCTCTGGCCTGCTGTGTGACTCTAGTATGGTGGCTTCACTTCTCTGGGCCTGTTTTCCTATAAGGACCATTAGATCTGATGATCATCTGCCTGAGAGCAGACGCCATTTGCATTTTCGAGGTTGGGAGTTCGATGCCAGAAGGATAAACAATTGAACCAGGCTTCCCAAGGAGCACCCGGTCTCTTACACTGCCCCCATGTTGGTACAGAGGGTACTCACTGAGATTCCCAGGTTCTTGTGTCCTGGAAGAATTGACCCGGGGCATGGATGGTGGTGGAGATAAAGTTTATTAAGAGGAAAGATCTGGGATAGAGAGCAAGAACATGTCCAAGGCTCAAAACCCCAGTCCACAAGCAGCCTGACCCTTGAGAGGTCATTTACTCATCAACCCCCTGCCCATATTCAGAAATGGTGGGATTACCTCATGCATACTGTTTTGATAGTGTTTCCTGAAATGAGGGTAGTTTTTTTTTTCATGTTAATTATGAAGACTCTCTCTCAAGCATCTATTTTCCTGATACCCATCACCGCCACCACCACAGCCGCCACTACTTTGGGACGGTTTGTAAAACCCACCTCAGGGTGCTTCTGCTTCCCCATGGACAGGACCTTTGGTTCAACACCATGGCTTTTGAGAAGAGGAGCCCTTCCCCCAGCCCTTCCAAAAGCACTCGTGTCTCTCTCTTCCAGCTGGAAAACCCACCACAGAGGGAAGAGGACCACGCCCCTGAGTTCATCAAAGTCCGGGAAAACCTGCGCAGAATCGCCACGGAGGAGAGAGCACTGTAGAGTTGCCTCTATTCAGTTCCTGCCTCTCACTCTGACCCTCCTAATCCAGAAGGCCCTGGCATACCGTGATGCCAGGAAGGCAGACCTGAGAGGCTGGCGATCCCTGGGAAAACTGGGGATCCCCGCACCCCATAGGGAAGTCTCTGTAGGGACTTTTCCTTCTGAGCACCTATCCTTCCTGTGCTAAGACGAAGCCACTGCCAGGAAAGACCTTCCCGAGGTGCCCTCCCCAGTCCCACTCACCAAATGGGCTTCCCCAGCAGAAGTGGGAAGGAAGGCCAAATGTCCTTCCACTCTGCCTTGGCTTCCCAACAAGTCCCTGCTTTTGGGAGAAGCCCAGCTCCTAGTGGCAGGAACATCTCAGTTCTGGCTTGACCCGAGGCCAAGGATGCCTTGGAAATCACAGAGCAAAGAAGGAGCCTTTCTGTGGCAAAGAATTGGGCATGGGAGGTCACAGCAGGCTGTGACCAAGAGGGAAGAGTCCTAACCAAGGCAGCTTTGGGCCCTGCTGGCTTGCCGCACGCTGCCGCTTTTTCCCTCCGCACCTGTCCTCCCTGAATTGCTAACCGCATCTCACCTCAGTGCTCCGGCTTCCAGCATAGAACAGCACATTGCCAACTTCACTGTACATACCATACACACATGTATGTACATACATGTACATGTCATACAAACTGGAGAGCCCTGGAAACAGTCCCTGGAAAGTGCGTGTCTAACACACTCCCAGGGAAAGCCCAGGACACTGGCTTGAGTAGTTAGCTAGACTGAAGCATCCAATACCCTTGGTTCCCTGGCTTGGAGGGTCCCAGTGCCGGCTTTAAAGTCCGTATTCATTCGCTATCCATAGACGTCTCCCCCACCCATACACACAATACACACACAGGGACCCGTGGCCTGGGAAACTCTAGCCTAGCAAATACAAATGGTCTTGTGATTGTAACCGCCAATCTTCACTATTTACTGGTGTAACCGCAATGCAATTCTAGCCAAAAAGAAAAAAAAATCTTAGCTTTTCAACTCTGGAAATACAGATGGTAGTTTGAAGACCCCCGGCCATGGTGACAAAATAGCTTCTTAGAGTCAACAATGTCAGCCACTGTCACCTGAGACTCTCCCCCCAATACCCCCAATCTGATCATCCTCATCTCTTCTTCCTCCAAAGCCCCTGCTTGTGCTTCTTGTGTGAATCTTTTGCTCCTACACTGTCTTGAATACATTCAGGAAGGTCTGAATCCTTTCCCCTGAAGAATGAAGCCCATGCCTCTGTTTTGAAGCCCTTTGCTGGTGGGAATAGCACTGCCAGAGAAACGCAGATTTCCCTGTGGGTGTGCTGGGTGCTCAGGCTCCAGAAAACAATGGTGGGAGGGTAGCAGAGTGTGGGTGTGGCGGCAAATGGAGATTCTATCTCTTGCCCTTGTGCTCTCTCTCGTGCGTATTTTTCCAGCTCTCTCTCGCTTGCGTGCGTGCGTGCGTGCGTGCGTGTGTGTGTGTGTGTGTTCCAGCTGTAAAGCTCTAAATGAAGTGTACCTGTCTTGGGTATCTGCTGGTGAGATGTTATGCTGATGTGCGTTTCTTAAATAAAGACAGCGCTGAGGGTTGTTGCTCTACAGGTATGTGAGCTGTTCTGACATATAAAGAGAAGCAAGACAGGGCACCAGGGATAGAGTAGGACCACCCAAGGGTCCTAGTGGTCCCTGGAGGAAATGGCAAGTCACAGAGATGACACCCAAAAGAATAAGGGCCCACAAGGCAGGTCATCCAGGAGAACCATGGCAGACACTTTGATGTTCTGTGACTCTGTTAGACCTAATCCATCTTTCTCATCACCTCCCCCTAGTGAGTATAAATATAGATTCTCACTCTCTCAGCCTACTCAGATGGTTTGGGTGACCATGTGACCAGATATGGCCAATGTAATCGAAGTGCAAGTCTACAGGATCGACTAGAAAACCCCATGCTTTGCTGAGAGACTCCCTCTGCCTCTTCCTTCTTCCTGCTTGATTGGGGATGTGATGCCCGGAACATTAGCAGTCATGTTTAACCTGAGGAAAAGGCCAAGAGATCCATAAGCCCTGTGATCATTTGACCAAGCAAGTGCCAACAGTTCTCTGTCTCCAAACACCTTGTGAATAAAGATAAACTCCTGCTTCTTAAAGCCACTGTGAGTCTGTTACTCACATTTCCTAACTGATTCTGTCTAGTTAGGCCGTCTATTGCTGTGAAGAGACACGATGATCATGGCATCTCTTACAAAGAAAGCATTTAATTGGGGTAGCTCTCTTACAGTCTCAGAGATCAGAGGTTTAGGACGTCACCATCATGACAGCGAGCATGGCAGCATGCAGGCAAATGTGGTGCTGGAATAGTAGCTAAAAGTCCTACATCTTACAGGCAACAAGAAGTCAAGTGAGACACTGGGCAGTATCCTGAGCATAGAAAACCTCAAAGCCCACCCGCACAATGACACACTTCTTCCAACAAGGCCATATCCACTCCAAGAAAGACACACCTCCTAATGGTGCCACTCCTATGAGATTATGGGGGCCAATTACATTCAGACTACTACAAACACAAAAGGTCAGTCTTGCCTGCCTGTCCAGAAATCCCTGTAAGCAAGGCTAACAACTTAATCCCCTCTTTTCCAACAGAAACCTCTTGGGACTAGTTCCACTGCAGGGCCTGTATCCTCTTCTGCGGACACTCTGATGCTGCCCACCTGATCCCAGTCTGGAACTGGAATTCTTCATCATTGATCCCACTCTCTGGTGCCATGTGTTGCCTTTCCCTGGATTAGTGCACAGACCTCATCCCTGTCACTGCCTTTGTCCCCCGCCCCTCCCCCTCGTGCTTCCTCAGTAAAGCAGCAAGGTCAGCCCTGTTACAGTTTTAAGCAGATCTTGCCACCCTTCACAGAGCCCTCTGCTGACTTTCAGGGGAGGTTTCAAGCAATCTGGAAGGTTCTATGTGCCCAGCTCCCTCTCTACCCTGACCTTCCACTGTGGCAGTCAGCCTGGCCTCCTGCACTGCCCAGAAGCTCCACCTCACTGCCTGCTCCTCAGCTGCTACTGGCCAGGAATAGGCTTTCCTCAGGAGCCAGCAGCCAAGATTCATTTTCTTCAAGGTCCCACCCCCAAATATTTCAAAAAAAAAATAGAGCTCCAGCAGAAATATTGGTATCTACATCCTACAAAAGTAGGTAAGCATGGACCATCTCAAATGCATCAAAATGGTATACCGATCATTTGGAACCCCTGGAGCAACTATTCACGGGCGTCTACCCAAGCACATGCACTTCAGGACAGCTATGTAAGCAGCCCAACACAAAGCCATAAACTTACTTAAAACATGAGATTTTCTTGGGTGTAAATTTTCTTCTAACTCCATTGTGTGGTTCTCCATCATGAACTGCAGATGGTAACAAACATATCATAGTGTCCAAAGGTTGGACCTCCCTGACAGCCACAGAAAGGGCCATTTGACCCGTCTTTTTTAACAAGCAGGTTAAAGGTTCCATGGGGAAATAGTTTTCCCACAAAACACCAGCACCTGGGCTGTCCCGAGCCTGAATAATTAATTTCTCTTCCGCCACCGTATATGGTCTCCCGGATATCTTCCAGTGACATCTCTAGAGTTTACTGCCCCGAGTCCAGAGATCTGTGCCCCAGCAGACTTCACAGGCTAGTGTATTTTGTACGGAAAGGTGTAGAGGCATCATGCTTTAGTCATTTCTTCACACTTCCCTTTCTTGTGGAAATGCTCACGTGCGTGGAAAGGTAATAAATGGTGTGGGTTTTCTCTTCTGAGTCTTGTATTAACTCAGTTCCAACTTCTCCACTGTCACTGAAATTCCAATCAGCCAACACTGTGTTATAGCCACAGCCATCCAGGGACTTTCAAACCTGAGTGACTAAGACCCAGGAACACAGATTCCAGTTACCCCAAGCTCCATGTACCCCAGCTGTAACTCATTCTTGTAAGCAGAAGAAAGTAGCTCTGCCTTCATGGGCCTCGACAAAGCCTAGTACTGCCACTTTTTTAAAAAAGATTAATTAATTTATTTATTATGTATACAGTGTTCTGTCTGCATGTATGTCTGCAGGCCAGATCAGAAGAGGGCACCAGATCTCATTTCAGATGGTTGTGAGCCACCGCGTGGCTTCTGGGAATTAAACTCAGAACCTCTGGAAGAACAATCAGTGCTCTTAACCGCTGAGATATCTTTCCAGTCTCACCTCCACTTTTTTATATGGTAGTTTAAATCCTCAGGAGTGAATAGTAAAGTTGCCTTTCTGCTGTTATCAGGTTTACAGGAAATGAGATCCTTTCTCACTGGCCCCCGAAGCTGTTAATCCCCGTTGTCCAATTTCAAAAATCAAAACCTTAAGGATCCAGACAAGGAATAAAGGACTCCAAATATTTTTGGCATTTCTAGACTTCAGTCAAGACAGAGCAAAGGACATTTTTGGCCTTTGGCCAAGGATATAATCAAGGCCCCTATCTCTAAACATTCTGCGTCATTTCTATCTTTTTTATCATTCCCTACTGTCTTAGGGTTTCTATTGATATGACAAAACATCATGCCAATACACTGAACACATGGAGAGTCTGAGTTTGCAAACTTGTGTAAGAATAAAGGCTCTTTGCTTTAACATACAGGACTCAGTCTCCTACTTGGTTTTGGGGGGACTCCGGATCTGGGCATAACAATCTACACAGTTAAATTCCAGGACGGCCAACCTTTCACAGAGACTCTACTTCAAAAATCAAAGAGACAGACAGAATGCACTGCTAGTTGCCATTTACATAGGTATGAAGTAACTTGGGGGCGGGGAGCAATAGGGGCACAGAAATTAGGATTTAATGAGAAAGAATGACGCAGAAATTAATGAGAAAGAATGAGAAAGAAATTTATCAGGCAAGGCATTAACTCCATGGATGACAGCAGCATGGTGGGAGCTCTTCGGAAAGTTCAGGCCCATGAGGCAGAATGGAGGTCCCTTTCTATAGGTTCCAGAAAGAGGCGGAAAGTCCTATATCGTGGAGCTGTGAGTGAACCAGAATTTGTGCTTGTCAGGTCAAGATGTCATATTCTCAGGCAACAGTGAAAGAACTGAGCTTTGACCCTTGGTTAATGTGACGTCACCTGCAGTCTTTGTTTGCTGGAGAGAGGACTCAGTGGTTAAAAGTATTGACTGCTGTTGTAGTGGACCCAGCTTTAATTCATGGCAGCTCACAACTCTCTGTAACTCCAGACCAGGAGTCCAACAGGTACTACATGCATGTGGTACACAGACATACATGCAGGTAAAACACCCACACATGTAAAAATAAATAATAATTTCTTAAAAGAACATCATCTAGGTTATTTTAATACAATTAGCTTCTCAGGCCGGGCAGCGGTGGCCCAGGCCTTTAATCCCAGCACTCAGGAGGCAGAGGCAGGTAAATGAGCTTAAAGCCAGCCTGGTCTATAGAGCGAGTTCCATGACAGCCAGGGCTACACAGAAAAACCCTATCTCAAAAAACAAAACAAACAAATAATTGAATGCAAGTAAACTTTTCAAAATTAGAAGCATAAGTAATGAATGCTCAAATTCCATTTAAATTTTGATTTTTCTGGGCCAGTGAAATGGCTCACGGGTAAAGGCATTTGCTAGGAAGTCTGAGAACCAGAGTTCCACCCTTGGGATCCACGTGATGGAAGGAAAAAACCAATTCCCGAAAGTGATCCTCTGGCTCCAATATGTGTACCACGACATATCCACACCTTCATAAATAAATGCAGAACAAAGTTTTTTAAAAACAGTTAATTTTTCATTTCCAATCTCCATTAACTATGTCATCAATAGTTTAGAATCATGAGGATAAGGATAAGCTTCTTGACTCATATAAAAGGTAGAATAGACATACAACAAAAGTATTTGCTCAACTATGTTCATAGCAGCATTGTTTGTAATAGCCAGAACCTGGAAACAACCTAAATGCCCTTCAATGGAAGAATAGACGAAGAAAGTATGGAATATATACATATTAGAGTAGGGACTGAGGGATACAGAGAGAACCTGGCAGCCAGGTCTGCTTTGATATGTTAAAAAGGCACCTGAGCCAATTGTCCCAGGTTTGAAGCCTAACAACATTCAGGTGGTCTTTCTTTGCCCTATAACCCATTCTGATACCCATATGCACTCTCCACCCTTCTGAGAGCTTCTCTCTCACCGGACATGGTGGCGCACGCCTTTAATCCCAGCACTCAGGAGGTAGAAGCAGGTGGATCTTTATGAGTTCGAGGCCAGCCTGGTCTGCAGATTGAGTTTAAGGACAGTCAGGGCTACACAGAGAAACCCCGTCCCAAAACAAAACAACAAAGAAACTACACATTTCTATCTGCTCCCTCCTCCTTCCTACTAGCCCACTCCCCTCTGGGTGGGCCCCTGGCCTGGTCCTGGGCTGCAAGCGGGAAGAATTAGCCTTTGCTTCTCCCACTGAAAAACTCCATGCTCACGCTAACTAAAGTTCCTCCAGGCCCAACCTCTAGATCAAAGTCAGGACCAAATTCTGGGCCCTCTCAAGTGCTGAGAGATTCATTGCTAACTTATAGCTATTTAAAACCAGGTTTAACTCCCCACAACAGTCAGACCAGGAGGCAAAGTCCCTCATTCCTTAGACCCCCAGCCCCAGCCTGAGTTGCATTTTTAAAAACTAACCTATATTAAATCTTCAGATTTCTACAATGCTCCTCTAACATGCAAAACTCCTTCACCCCTGCCTCTTTGCCTCCTCTCCCTCCTCTCCCTACCTCCAAAGCTGAGTACCTGAGATCCAAACTCCAACCTCGCCTTGTCTTCTCACCTGCAGTACAGCTCTTAGCCAGAGCACAAAAGGCTAAACTGAGCAGCAGGCTCCCAGCCATCCTCGCCTTTACAACAGAGCTCTGGCAAAGGTCCAGTCTGCCGCATGAAATGTAGCAATCTGTCCTTCACCCTTCTCAGTGGCCCAATACATTCATATTAGATGTTACTCCAAGGTACTGGCCAGCTGCCTTGTGTCTTCCTAAGGATTTCATGTAATCTCTGTCATTTTACATTCAAGAAGCTGAGAGGCCTATAGCCACTACACAAAGTGATTTGCATTCCTATTATTTTTTAAGATGTATATAGGAGTATGTGTTTATATATAAACTTTAAGGTATTTTAATTTTTTATTTTATTATTTTATGCACATGAATATTTGTGTCTTATGCTTGCAGAGGCCAGAAGAGGGTGTCAGATCCCATGGAACTGAAATTCCATCTGGGTGCTAGAAATCGAACCCAGGTCCCCTCTAAGAGTAGGCAGTGTTTCTCACTCACTGACCCATCCCTCAGGTCCGTAATCTTAAAACTATAACCTGTTTAAAGATATACAGTTCTTTTCGCAGAATATTTAAGTTGATTACCATGCCCTGCCTGTACTTAAAAATGTTAAGATAATTGGAATACAGTATTCATGTTTCCTATGTTTCGATTACAGTTTATTAAGTTATAATTCAAAATATTATTAGTTTCAAGACATAAACAAAAATCAAACATAAAAGTCATTAAATCAAAAATAAAAAAGGAGTTATGAGTATAGAGTGCATAGGTACTTTAAAATATTTAATAGGGGCCGGAGAGATGGCTCAGCAGTTGAGAACACTGGCTGCTCTTCCAGTGGATGTAGGTCCGATCCCCAGCCTCCCCATGGCAGCTTACAGTCCTTTGTAACTCCAGTTCCAGGGGGTTCAGCACCATTTTGCAGCCTCGCCGGGCACCAGGCAGGCAGGTGGCACACAGACACATGTACAAACAGAGCACCACACTTGTGAAGTAGAAGTAAACGTTTAAAAAAATGCAACTAAATAAATTCTACCTTAAAATGTGTATATAGGGGCTGGAGAGATGAGTCAGCAGTTAAGGGCACTGGCTGCTCTTCCAGAGGACCTGGGTTCAATTCCCAGAACCCACACGGCTGCTCATACCTGCCCATAATTCCAGTTCCAGGGCTTCTGACCTTGCACAGACAAACATGAAGGCAAAACACCAATGCATGTAAAATAAAAGTAGATTATAATGGACTGGAGAAATGGCTCAGAGGTTAAGAGCACTGACTATTCTTCTAGAGGTCCTGAGTTCAATTCCCAGCAACCACACGGTGGCTTACAGCCATCAGTAATGAGGTCTGGTGCCCTCTTCTGGCCTGAAGGCATACATGCAGGAAGAACCTTGTATACATAATTAATAAATAAGTCTTTTAAAAACAGTAGATTATAAAATAATTATATAAAATTGATTAAACTATTACAAATAGTGATAACATATTATATACATTACATAATCAATATATTTTATATAATTATAATTCCTAAAATCAATATTCTAATTGTAATTATAATTACATTGAGAGAAAACTGATGCCTGTTTTATATCGACAATGGTAGGTTTTCTTAAATATTAACCTTGTTTGATCATTGTACTAAATAAGATACTTAAAGCCTGTGGTTTCACCAAATGCTGTTTATATATATGTTCCTGTTGGGGAAAGCCTCCCTCGAGTCATAAAAATTGTGTTAGTACTCCTACTCGGGACATGCCTGCTAAACTACATAATAACCAGAGAACTTACATTAGTGGACAAGACTCAGATCTGTTTGTTTATTTATTTATTTAATATGTATACAATATTCTGTCTATGTTTACATCTGCAAGCCAGAAGAGGGCACCAGATCTCATTACAGATGATTGTGAGCCACAATGTGGTTGCTGGGAATTGAACTCAGGACCTTTGGAAGAGCAGGCAATGCTCTTAACCACTGAGCCATCTCTCCAGCCCCTCAGATCTGTTTCTAAGCGTGACACATTATATACATTTCGCTGTGCCCACGATCCTCAGTTCTCTAGATGAATAAATAAGCCACTATCACTAACTAAAAATATTTCATAGTAAGGCCCTAAAAAGTAAAGATCTACATTAATCTAAAAAGACTCCTTCCTGTTCATGGAGGAAGGTACCACACTTTCTAAATCCTGTTAAATGTCAAAGATATTTGAACTTTTACTGAATTATTATTTTTTTTTCTCATTAAACTTGTTTTAATGGGTCTCAAAATTCTGTGACAGATTTTTGGTCAAGTTGTTTCCATTAAAAAGTACTGATTTTGAAAACTAATAACTTAAAACTGCCACACATAAAAAAAAAAATGGTCCACAAAACATTCTCCTTTCCTTCTGAAGGTTTTACGATGCATTGTTATCATTAACCAGTCTTTTACTATTAAACTTAAATGGCCAATTGAGACAAACAGTTCTGAGACCGTTCTTCCACCACTGATTAAGACTGGGGTGGCAGGTGTTAGGGATAATATTCATTTAGCCTTCTGAGCTTTCTGGGCAGACTTGGTGACCTTGCCAGCTCCAGCAGCCTTCTTGTCCACAGCTTTGATGACACACACAGCAACTGTCTGCCTCATGTCACGAACAGCAAAACAACCCAGTGGAGGATAGTCAGAGAAGCTCTCGACACACATGGGCTTCCCGGGAACCATATCAACAATGGCTGCGTCACCAGACTTCAAGAATTTCGGGCCATCTTCCAGCTTCTTG